ACAACCGCCCTCTGACAACATGGGTGGTGAAATAGGAGCAGGGAACGCTTGGCCTAGATTTGCAAATTTCTGTTTGCAGCGTAGAAAGATTTATAGGAGGAGGCCTGAGGGGAAGGCAGCTCTCGCAGGGCTTCCCTCAGACTGTGAGTCCAGCCCTCCTCGGTGCTTCTGGTGCAAAACGGAGCAGGGTCCTGACCTGCAAAGGACAAGCGATCAGCTCCAGCACACATCAACCCTGGCTGGAAGCTGTGGCTGTGTCCCAGCTGGAGTGCACCCACCTCCACTGCAGCAGCACGTGGATCCAAGCAGCTCCCTTGTAGTTGTGGAGCTGCATCCAGAGGGATCCCTGCAGTGAGGGTGAAGGCAGAGAGCTGCTGCCATCAGAGCCTTCCCTCCCTGCTGCTGCTTTCATCTTCCCGAGGGAAAAGCAAACAGAGGGGAACCAGAAAGCTTTGTGGCTACAAAGTCTCACATCTGGTTTTAGCTCCAAGAAACGTACTCCCACTCCCTCCTTGAACTGTTAATGTTAAACTAATAAAACCCCGGTGATTTTTCTGGATTTCAGTGCTTGGATCGCTTACAAGCAGCTTTCACAGTGAATTCCAGGATTGTTCTCACCTCCATCCCTAAGGAAAGTAATGCACCCCTCTTGCAGGGAAGAAGATGCTGCCAAATGGCAGAACTCCATGGCTCCAGCACCGCAGGACGAGCAGCAGCCCAGGGCTGCGGGGTGGGCAGTGCCTGGCTGTGTGCAGGGCACACTCTGCTCCCCTCAGCTCTGAGTCCTCACCCTGGCAGCGACCCCTGGAGCAGCACAGTCCTTGAGTCCAGTGAGACAAACCTGGTTTAAATCTGGCCCTCCCATTCTATTTGTAGGTTTCAATACCGCATTTTTATCTGCACTGTTCCCCCCCCTCCCCCACCCCGTGCCCTTTTTTTTAAGAACGTCTGGAAATGTTTAAGATGTGTCCAACTATATTAAAATGCCTTTGAGAGCTTTGCGATGTCAATTTGATTTCCGCTCTTTTAGAGGCAGCGCTTTCCAATTTGCGATGTTGTTCATTTCATATCACATAAGCACCTACTTCATTTCACTTCTTCCAGGTGTCACCTCTCGGTGACAATCTTGGGCTCACTGTAACACACGGGGCCAACACTTGAGTGTTCCCATGTGACACGTGAGCATCTCCCTCCCGAGCCAGGCAGTGCTTTGTTTCTCCAGGACCCTCTGCTATTTGCATGGACAGCAATGACTTCTGACCCCTTCCTCCATGCTCTGTAGTGACCGCCTCCCCTCACCGGGCTCTGGGACGCTCTCTGGCCAGCAGCCACGCTGACATTGTTCTCTCAGAAGGAGAGAGGCTCCTCGAAAGCCGGGGACGCAGCCCGAGGGGTGTTCTTGGCTCACTGGAAGCCATCCAGCAGGATCAGGTTTCAGAGCAGAGCTCCTGCGCCAGCTGCATGGAGGAGGAACATCACCATTGGGACAACTGGAAAGAAAAGCCATCCGTTTCTATTCAGGGGATCCAATTTTCTTTCTGCTTCATCAGATTAACACCAGTGTAACTCCATTAACTACCAGGGAGTTGCTCTTGATCTGAAAATCAGACACATCAGATTTTCTGGCTTTTGCATGCGGTTACTTCACTCAAAGGAGCAAAGATGGACATAGGATGTATCTACAAAAGCCTTTCTTGTATGTGGTCTGGGGGTAGTTGTTATTCTCCCCTCCTCATTTAAAAGAAGAGATTTCACTCCCTGCTCCTGTTTTTTTTCCAAGCAGAAGGACCTCACTGATTTCCACGTTCTGTTTGTGCCTCTTCCCTCGTGTTCCTCCCTCTGTGCTGCCCCAACACATCGCTCACGATGGACCCAAGGGAGAAGTTCCAAGGTGCCTCCTCTTCCTTCAAACCCTACTTTTCTGGTGCCCAGCAGTTTCTCTAAGCCTTTCATTGCTCTCACAGAGCAAACACTTTCCCACGTTCTGCTGAGGCTCCTGTAGAACAAGCATTACATCGAGGAATGCGAGGTCTCAGCCCTTTATCCTACATTTGATACACATGCTGAAGTAAGCTCAGCCCCACGCTGCATTAGGAGACTGCATCCTAAATTTCATCACAGGGCATTTGTGCACCGAGTGAAGAGCCTTGCTTTGTCCAATGATTGCTACTAAACGAAACCATTATGGAGAACCTCCCTAACAGTAGGATGGGTCCAAAGCGTGCACACGATCCCTCCAGTTGGTCCACAATGGGTTCGTTGTTCCTTGCCATCTTGCTGGGTGGAAGCACGCTGTGTTTCTGTGCTGACGGTGCAATGTGACCCAGCACTGCTTCACTGCACCCAGAGCACTGCACTGTGTTCCAGCAGCCCTGGCCCTGGCCAAACACCCAACTCTGCAATTCCTTGCAGGGCTCCTGCTTACTGGTGCCTGCGGTCCACTCGTTAAACTGGGTGTAACATTCATCAAACTACCTCCACGTACAGAGTCTGGAACTCACGATGAGCAGCAGCATCGCCACCGTTCACCAGGTCTCAGTGCAAAATGCAAGCCGACAGTTCTCCATGTGCCTTGCTCAAAACATGCATCTTACCTCACATGAAGTCTCCTCCCTTTGCTGAGAGCACCACTGTGCCACTACAGAACCATTGCTATCTTAAGACTCAGGAAGCTGTTTGCCACATCACACCTTGTCGAGTCTGGAGTTGTTATCTTCAGTAATGATAATCAAACGCCCAAATCGATTTTGCCTGTGTAGCCATTCTAAGAACCTTTCCTAGTCAGAACTAGAATGGAGAACAGTTTCTTATGCCCGAGAGCTCTGGCAGTGGAGAGCCAAGGAGCTTGGTGAAGGGTTTCTCCATGCCTTCCAGCTGAGCCTGGAATCAGGGACACTCAAACTGACTGCTTGTGAAAGGTTTCAGTTTCCCACTGAAACCTCCACTTTTTGGTCAGCCATAAACTGGAGTTGCCTTTGCTGCAGTGTCAAGATGTCAAGAGTACCAGATGAGGAGGGCTTGGCAGAAGGCAGAAATCTATTTCATTGTGCAACTCACTCAAATATCCCATTGCTCTGAAAAGCTGTGAACTTGAGCAACGAGGTTTGTATGAAAAGTTCTTAAGCAATTTTCTGAGTTTATTTGTAACAGGAATCTGGTTGTAACAATAGTTATAGAATTAAGAAAACTCTCGCCCTGGCACTGAAAGGGGAACTAAACAAAACCAAACTCTCAATTGTATGTCTCTGTGTAACAGCTTCTGAATTAGAATGGAGAAATGTGACCTAACATACAGAATGACCTCAATTAGTGGGTGATGGGCTGATTACACTTTGGCACATGGATGAGCCTTTTGCTAGGAAGAAAATACCAACCATACTCATACTGTTGGCTACTATTTAAATAACCATGCCCGAAACACTAAGGGAGAATGAGACTGGGAAGAGAGGGGTGTCACTGAGATTTGCACAAAGAGCTCACCTTCCTATTTACACCAGATGTGCTGTGTTATGCCCCTGCACAGCAACCACTGGAAGCTGGGAGGAGACACTGCAGCTATAATATGCTTTATTCCAAAATGCATTTTATCCTTAAAGCTGTGCAGGCCCACTGCTATTTCTCACCAACTTCAAGCAGCATTTGGTCAGACCCTAAAAACTACTGCATCTTGTCTCTGAAACAAACTGCCGTGCTTATTAGCGATCCTTCATCGCCCAAAAGCAAGCTAAATTCAGTAATTTTCATGCATAAAAGTGTGGGGATGACATTTGAATTGTCACTGGATCCCTTCAACCTAAAATACGCAGAATCTCCTGGTATCACTAAATCACCATGAGATTTCACACAGCGACAGATGCAGCCCATAGAAAATCCTAGGAGGGAAAAATACCACCTGAACTTGTGTAACAGCCCTGCAAGGAAGTTGTAGCTCACATACGCTGGCTGCTTTAACAGAGCACATCTATGGAATGAAAGGTGTCACAGCAGAAATAAAAATCATCTGTGCTTTAGGCCTTGGGGGTTAAATCACCACTAAACATCACTGAGTAGCCAGCACCCTGGGGTGCTGCTCAGGGAACAGCCATTTCATACAGGGCACTGCACTGAGACACCGAGTTGGGCTGTGGATAGATGAACTGTGCAGCCTCCTGGAATTTCACATTTCTGAGCTGCAAAACAATCTTACACACACAAAAAACGTACTTTTTGCATTGCAGACATTTTTCTTCCTATCAAATACATGATAAATTTGGTCATCAATATAAAGAGACCATAAAGAAGGTGGCTTAGAGAGGAAAACGTGAAGTGTCCTTGAAAAAAATTGTATAGCATAGCTGTAGCAACAGAAATAAGACTAGGTAAAACATATTAAACCCCTATGTATACTGCCTAGTCTAGCAGCAATTCCCAGAACAGGCTTGCATTCATGGAAACCATTTTCTGTATATACACACATGATCATGCTGGGGGAAGCTAAGCAGGAAAATGCTCCATAAGTAGGATATATTAGAAGAAGCTATAAGTAAAAGGTAGGTATGCACTTTATCTGGTACTATGGCCATTCCAGCATAACAGAAAACCATTTTACACTACCAGACGTTTGCTGTCAGCACTGCTATCTCCAAGCTCACCTGCTATTTCTAAGGAAGACCCCTCTTCTAAACCGTTATCAATTACCAGGCACTGAAACATAAAGGAGACAACACCCACCAGAGCTCCCAACACCAGCAGCCCTTAAGGCACGCTGGGCAACACCAATATCTCAGCCTCTCTCGAGGAAGCAAGGTTTAGAACGCGAGCTTCCATGTGGGGATGCTGGGCGGCGCCTTTCCTCTGGAACCATCTGTTCCCATCCTGACTGCATGGGGTCGGTTTTGTTGACACAACGGCGGGAGCCAGGGGCCCAAGCAGCGGCCGTGCTGTGGATGCCAGGGCCCAGCTGCACAGGTCCGCCAGCACAGCTCCAGCAGCGCGTGTGCAGCACAAGCAACGAACCACAGTCAGTTTTTGAGGAGTCTTTTTTATTAAGATAAATCCAGCAAAATTCCTAACAGTGGGTACATACAACCGACCTGCCCTTTCAAAAGAAACGCTTGTATTTCATTTAAAAACATGATTACACTTTTTTTTCATTATTTATTTATTTTTCAAAACCGACAAAATAAAATTACATTTGGGAAAACAACAGATTTCCAGCTCTTAGGTATTTTTTTTTTTTTCATGAAAATAGCTCACCTTCTTTATAAAAGCAACCCACAGAACCACTGGAATGTTTAACACAGTTATTTGTTTTGAGACCTCCCCACTTTAAGAAACCATACAACACGTACAAGGGTAAAATTAAAATCTGAACTCTGTAAGCATGACTTACACAAAAAGGGACACACTGACAGAAGTCAAAAGCTACCACCACTTATTCTTTCCATGTACCATACAAACTATTACAATCACAAAATTTAAAAACAATGATTTTTTTTTGTTTTGTTTTGTTTGTTAGGGATTTAATTCCCAAGTAACCGAGATGAAGATGTTCCATAATTAAATTCATGCTAAAAAAACCTGCATTTATAAAATAGTTGATAAAAATATTCCTCTCTGTTAACAATACAGCATGGAGGTACGGATACCAAATGATGGAGATATAGGGCAGGGTTAACATTACTCGGACTTGGCTTCCTTATCATCAGATGCTTCAGCAGCTGGTGCCTATAAAAGTGTTTGGGAAGAATAGAAATATTATTTGTAATGCTAATCGGATCCCATTCTAACAAGCATCAAAGAGAGACTACTTTGTTAGCACGCACATGGACAACATTTTGTGTAGATAAACAGGAAAGCACAGCTACTACCAATAATATCAACACAACAACGCGTTGGCTGATAATTCTAAAAACTAAACCATGGAGGAGGAGCATCATTTGATGACTGATTAATATCAGAATGATAAGAGAATCCAGAGACAGAATTTGAAACGTGTTTTAGATAAGGATCAATCAAGTGCTAAGGGAAGTTCACGTCCTCATCTCTGTCCAGTCATAGGAAGTGTAAGAATTACACACAAATACTGTGTTGTATGAACTTCAGGGAGGCAGATCTCACCTGTTTTCTATAAAACGTCTGCTATTAGTTTCTAAGTCAACACATCAAAATTGCCAAGCTCCTATCAGCGGTCCTTGGAAGGACGATGGTGCCATATTAATTTTTAGCAGAGAAGCTTGAGAATTGCTTTTTAGAATGAACAAATGAATGACCCATTAACTCTGTAGCGATACTCAGCACACGAAGAGAGAGCACTGTAAATCAACAGCACTGGAGTACACAACAGGCTAGGCTACAGCTGCAGGGATAAAAGGAGCCTGTAGCAAATGTTGCACTTCTATCAGCAACAGGAGTGCTAGGAAAAGGCCATCAGGAGCGGACTGAAGCTTGTAGCCAGTCCTAGCAAACGGCAGCTCTTGTGTAAGTAGCTGATACGGTAAGAACCTGCAAGGAAGAGGCTTGCAAATCAAGAGACAAGACCAAGAACCTATAAGAAAGAGGCTTTCAGATCAAGAGACAAGACCAAGTTTGTTTTGAAGAACTCTTGTTGAACTGTTCTGATGCGAAGAATTGTTTTAAAGAACTGTGTAAAACTTAAAACCAGATTTCTGGCACAGTACCAACCCGTGCTGAGCAGAATAGGCAATCCAGCAGTCCAGAGAGGATATGCAAAGTCAGCTCAGGGTTGGACAGCAATCTTTCTGAGCTCTATTGTTCCTCAGATATTCTGCATTGCTCTTGTGCCAACACAGAGAGGGACACTACAATAGCACAGACCACCTGTGGAAGGGCTCTACCACATAGCAGGAAAGAGTTTGAGGAGAATGCTATTCTTTCAGGCTCTCCCTGGGAGTCGCCCTGCGCAGACACTGCAGCTGGTGTGTCTTAACAGGACAGCAGTGAACGCAGCACCTTCCGACAGGAGGCCCCAATCATTAGTTCCAGCAGATGCATTACCAATACATCTGTGTTTATTCCCATGTTTACTGTAGCTAAGGTACCTCATTAGTTTTGGTATCTCCATTTTCAGAGTGGTTTTCTTCTTTTGCATCCTCTTGTTTAGTTTCATCTTTGCCTTTGGCTCCTTTCTTCCCTTTTGTTGCTGCCTTTTTGTCTTCCTTTTTATCGTTTGCTGCCTTTTCTTTCTGTTAAGAAAAGAAACTGTGATATGGCAAATGCTGACTTCCAACTCGTACGCCTTCATTCGCACATTCACAACTCTGAGCCTGTCCACACAACCTGCTTCTACACACAGAACTTCCTAGTGACAAAGATGAGATGAAGGTTTCTATGGAGAAGTGTTCTCCTTCTATTCTGCCCCAAACGTGCTACTGAGAAGTGCATAATATAAAAGCAGTCACAGCTGGGGTTAAAAGAATTCCTATTTTAAATAGGCATTCAATTAAATTAGCTAAAAAATGCTGGAGTTGAACTGGCCTGTATTTCTGCTGTGCTGCTGAAAGGCATACCAAAGAACAAAAAGAACATGTGCAACTAGTGGAAATACCAGAATCCTTCAGATGTGCTATTGAGGCCTATTTAGAAATTCTAACAAAGCTGTAGTCAAAGGACTTTCCCCCTTGTCTGCCCGAAATATTCCTTACTATAATAAACCATTTGTGTGATGCACAAGCTGGGGGCCCAACAGCATCACTTCAATAACAACGCAAACTTTGCAGTTATTATTTAACCACACTTTCTTGTATGGCTGATCAGACTAAATCAAAACAAAGTTCAATGCCACAACTTCTGTAGTAACAGTTTTCTATATAGTAAGGTCAAACTCTGACCCTAACCCAGAAACAAGCATGGTTTCTTACCAGTTTCACTTGCAAGGATCTGCCCCTTGCTGCCAATAAAGAGCCAGCAAACCAGAAACCATCAGAGAATCTAAGCAGATCATGACTGATAAACATGGTTCCAACAAAAGAACAATAAATACCTCCAAAACCACTACCCAAAGGTAAACGAAGCTAAGCACATAAATCGCAAATACACACATTTACCTAGTCAGAAAATGGAGTTGTCCCAGTGTCTAAAACTTCTAGAAAGTCTATATGCTTATTTCAACTCCTAGCTTATTAGTTCACAAAATTAATTCACATCAAAAATGAGTTGTTTGCTAATGTCAAACACAGACACAAAATGGTAAGAGCAAAGCCACCTGATTATTCAGTAATTATCAGCTGATGATAAAAAACTCACCCAAATTAAAACCAAGTCCTGTAATAGTGCAGAAAGCTCAGACAGGAGGTTGGTGGCACCAATCAGGAGTGAGGCTTTTTCCTCTCTATCCTCCCACTCCCCAGCCTGACCTTCCTGAGGGATTTCAGCCCACCTGAAAAACTCCACCTCAGAGGCATTAGAAGTCTCCTTCCCCCAGGCTGTGCCCACTCTCCAGAACCTTCTCCTCCATTCTGGGGACTGACTTATGAAGGATACACAATGGCTCTTTTCCAGAGTGAAGGAAGAGAGTAGTCAAATAGAGCAGGAAAGAGAGCCATCTGCCTCCTCTCGGCCTCTTCCCCCAGTTGAAAGAGGACCACTTACACTTTCAAGAGGCAGAGTGGAAGAAGGAAAAGGCCAAGAAAAATATCCATCAGAGTAACACCAGCACATAACTATTCTGGAAGTGTCTGGCAGTGTTAAGGTTTGGAACTGCAATGCTGCTGCGATACTGGCTTGCTCTCTGTCCCTTGAACAAACTTCTGGAGACCTCTGGAGCACACAGAAGCAGTCTGCTGCGAAGGGCTCTCTAGCAGCACAGGTGTGTTAGTCACTTGCTCTGCAGACTACTCTCTGTAGGCAAAGCCTCTTAAAACAAGACTTGAGAAGAATCCAGAGAAATTACTTTCTACGACTGGACTCTGAATGGAAAGAAAGTGCCTTGCAGAATACAGCTGTGACTGGGAACCTGGGATCCTGTAGAACACTTACTACAACCCCTTCTGCATAGATGCTGGTCCTGTATTAGATAGCTTCACAGAGCCAAAGCTCAATTGTCCTAGATTCAAACCAACACCTTAACTGCAAGAAGAACAATGCTGCTGCCCTGGGTGTGGGCCAACTCGCAACTTGCCAGCAGAACTCAATAGCAATCAGTCCCTGAGAGGAGATGCACCACACAGCTCGTGCAGCACGGGACTGGAGTAAGCTCTAACAGTCACTTACAGTCCTTAACTTTTAAATGCTTAGCTCTGCAACTCCAAAGTTCTGTTAGCACAGCTTCTGTGTATAAATCTTTAGATGTTTCCATCAAAATGAAAAATAAAAAAGCAAGCCTGAAAAAAAGCCACCACCACGCATCGTATGCAATTGCACTGACCTCTGCACGAGTGATCAGCAGAAGCTGACCCCAGCACTTGCAGATCCCAGCTCTCTTTCCGCTGGGGCTACAGGAGCAATGTGGGCTCGAGGGAGCAGCCACTAGAGGGAGGTGCAGCGCAGAATGCTAGCGGCTCACACCGCAGGAATGCTGAGCAGCAGGGCTCCTGGGTTCTCCCGCCGCTCTGGAATGGGATCTAGAAGTTCAGGCTGCACAGCCAAGATGCAGATGTGAAAAACTTGCTCTGGACAACACTGTGATGGGGGATCCCCAGACAGCATGCGGGGTTCTCTTTCTTGTCCTCTCCTCGTGACGTTTTTTGCTGCTCCACACAGCAGAACTCGAGGCAGAGCAGTTTTTTCATCGTTTGGAAGCCCATGATGCCGTATGTGATTGCGAGGGCTTTTAAATGTATACAAAAAGGCACCTGGTTCTCAGGCCATCATACCCTTCTGAAACTAAAAACCTGTGCTTTGCTCAAAACCACCAAGGAAAATGTATGATGGAAACAGACTAAAAGGAGAATTTTTTTTTTTGTTTTCCCAATAGCAAATGCCTAATGCAATCTGAGTATTTACTGATAGCTCTAAAATAAAAGGATTGCAAACCGTGACCTCTGGAAAGCGTGGCAGAAAGGAAGAACAAATACCTCATGGATCACAGAAACAGCCTCCTTTTATGTTTCGAGTTGTTGCTCCAAAGCACAAAGAAAATGCAAATATTTCTTGTTTAGCTGTATTGTCAGACATGCTGATATTTTTGACATTTCGGAAAATATCCAGCTTAAGGAAATGAGCATGTAGATCTTTATCTCCAGTGATTAAAATCTGATAAGCTGATAAATGAAAGGAGTGCCTCTGAATGAAAACTCAATAAGAAACTGCAATTAAAAGCATGATTTTCAACGCCTTCCCTAACTGAATCTCTGATCTCTATTGAAATCAATACAGTTTCCCAACAATACATGGTAAGAAACTACAGAATGGCCTTGCGAGGCAGCAGTAGAGCCTCACTACAACTGACTTAAAATCTGATCAGTTTACCACATTCCTTCAGGAGAATTTGGATTAAATTAATTTGATGTCACAATTTCACATTGTTTTAACCCACAAGATTCAATCTTAAATCTTTAAAGAAAACTATGGAAAAAAAAAAAAAAGTTGTGAATGTTTTGGGTTGTTTCAGTGCTTTTTTCCCCCTCTATGAGTACCCTGAAAAACAGAAGTGTTAACTTCAGTTCAGGATACCTTCAACACTTACCTTAGGTGCTGCCTTTTTGGGCTTTGGCTCCGGTTTAGGCGGAGCAGGTTTCTGTACAAAACACATATAAGAAACAGTCAGATGAGCCCTATACAAGTTTTAGCATTACATTGATAACTTTTGAAAACTACTCCAACAAAAGATATTTTGAGTTGACAGCTTCTTTCTGTAGTAATAAGGAATTAATGTCAGTGATGGGTCAATATCTTTTCTTGTTCAAAGTCACATTTCCTCATATACCTTACAGTGGCTACAGCACAGATGCTGACTAGCAGTAGTGAGTGGATCACTACTGTGTCTGAGTGTCACTGTCTACTGTGAAGGCAAGCATCTGTCAAAAATGAGACGTATTAACATCTGCACATAACTCTAGAAGTCAACACACATCTTAGCTTTCACTAAAATTAAGTACTTTCTTTTTTAAATAGTAACTGTTATCCACTTGGCATTTCCAGACTGCTTAAAAAAGGGCTGGGCACACTAAGTCTGTAGGAAAGGATACCAAGAGCCTGGGGAAGACTGACTTTGGGCTGAACCCTACCACTCAACAGAGATTTACACCCTCTAGATCTCAGCTTACCCAACACTTGGACACTGAAAATCAATGGGCAAATTACAAGCTTAAAGAAAGCGTGGGCAATTTAAAGAGCTATGGGCAGGTATCTGTAGTGAGGAGACCTACAGACACCAAGTAGTGGTCAATCAATAGTCCTTGAGTCTGGACTCATGTGTCCAGACGTATGTTCACTAATAGATGAATGAAACGACTTGCACAACTCACATGAGATGTGTGAAAGTGAGCCCTGTTACGTGCTGCTGCTCAAAACCCAGACACATAAAGTAGGAATTTTACTCTTAAATATTTTTATACTGTTAACTTGGCCTCTAACAGCAGCAGCAGGAAAAAACAGTCTCTCTTCAACTTTCCCCCAGAACTTAACATCCCATGAGATGGAGTATGAAGAGATCAGAGAGGAATACTCACAGCAGATAGTCTGGCTGACCTTCTCTTTGGCTGCATAAAGAAAGAGGTGTCACTACAGCTCAGCAAGCACAGAGCTATGCTTTCCCAGCACAGCACAGCACAACACAGCACACACCCTGCACACCCCAGGATTTAGGAACCTCTGGACATAGGGCTGACGGCTCGCTCAGCGCTGCTCCCCTGCACAAGCAGCCCTACTGAGATGCCAGGTAACCACGTCCCCTTACTGCCCCGAGGGCCACGTCTGAGCTGTAAGGGCCTGGAGGCCCGCAGCCCCGGGCCCCGAACGGCCGGTGTGCAGAGCGGCGTCTGGGGGACTCAGAGCGGGCGGGCGGTCCTGCAGCGGGATGCCGAGGGCTCACACCCGTAAGGGGAACCTCGGATTTAACCCACACCGCCACAGAAGTCCTGCGCAGAGCGGAACCGAGGAAGGAAATCCTACCTCCTCCTTCGCCTCGCCTTCAGCTGGAGCCTGCAAGAGAAGCGAGAGGGGCGATGAGAGGCAGGGCGATGAGCGGGGACGCGGCCTCACAGCTGCCCGGCGGACTACAGCTCCCAGCGTGCCCCGCGGCCGCCGAGCCACTACGTCACCGCGCCGCGGCGTCGCCGCGTTTAAAAAGTTCCCGCCAAATCCGCGGCCGCAACAAGGTCGCCGCCGGCCCCGCACAAGGACAAAGCTCCGCGCGCACCCCGCCGCCCCGTGGCTCCGCGCCGCGTCCCGCCGCGCCGGGATCCCTTCCGAGCACGTGGGGCGGCCGGCAGCGCGCGGCAGCCCGCACCGCCAAGGGGGGCGCGGGGCCCTTGGGAGCCCTTGGGAGGGGCGGGCGGTGAGGGTCCCCCGGGGCCGGGCGGGGGGCTGGGGGGCGGGAGATCCCGGCGGCGTGGGCCGAGAGAAAGTTGTTAATGATGGTGGCGGCTCCTTCCCCGCTTCCCTTCAAGGACGGTTTCAAACTCTGCGCCGCCTAATGGCTCCGATTTACCATTGCACAACCATCTGGTATGACAAGAAGTGGGAGAAAAAAAAAAAAAAAAAAAAAAAAAAAAAAAAAAAAAAAAGGAGAACAAAGGCAAACGGCGGAGAAAGGGACACCGTGAGCGGCTCAGCGCCGCCGGGATACGGCCATACCCGAGCCCAGATGCCGCCGGCGTTGCCCAGGGCTGGCGCGGGGCGGTGGGCGCCCGGCGGAGCGGCGCGGCGCGGCCCAGGCGCGGCGGCACCATGGAGGCGGCGGGAGCAGCATGGAGACGGCCGCGCTGCGCCCGGCGGCGGCCCGAAGTGAACTCGCAGCTCCGCGCCGCGCGGCTCCGGCCCTACGAGAGCGGCCGCGCTGCTGGACGGGCAGCAAAAATGGAAAACGCCGAAACTCTGCGTGCACGCACACACACACACACACACACACACGGCGAATCGGCGCTGTTTGTGCACAAACGGCCGTAATCCTCCCGCCCCCGTTCTGCCCCGCTTACCTTTCTTTTGGGCATAGTTGCACCTTAATAGTTGATTGCAAAATAGAGAGATCGGGAGAGGTGTAAAAAATATAAAGGGAACCGCCGGGAAACTGTTTTCGAGCGTCCTGCGGGATTGCCAAAAAAAAAAAGAAGAAAAAAAGAAAAAAAAAAAAAAAGAGACGTCGACGGGACCAAGAGTTAATTGCAGCAGAAACTGAACAAAAAAAAAATCCCCCCCTCTTTATTGCAAACAGTAAAATACACCAACACGCAACCAAACTGCATGAATGGGGAGCGCGAGATGGGCCCAGCCGCAGAGTGACGGCCGCCGCGGCCAATGGGCGTGCGGGAAACGGCGCGAGGGGCGGGGCAGGGGCGGGGGGCGGGGCCAAGGCCGTAGCGCGAGAGACGCTCGCACACGGAGGGCCGGCGGCGGCCTTACGCCGTCTGCGCAGCGGAGCGGCCTAACGCGCGCGGTGAATACGGCGCGGCGCCGCCGGTGGCCCCGGCGCGGCCCGCGGAGGGCGGGCGGTGTCGATGCGAGGCGGCCGCTCGTCGCCGCCGCACTCGGAACGGCTCCGCGCGTCGCGGTGCTGCCCCGCCGGCCGCCGAGCTGCCTTCCCCCCCCCACCCCCCTGTCTCCTCCTTCCTCGCGTCCCCCCAGAGGCCGGGAAAGAAACTTCCCCAAAGTTAGCGCAGGCCGCAGGACGACAACATGGCGGCCGCTCTGTCCCTCGCGGGGCCGCCATGGCGCGGGGCGATCCCGCCTCGGGTCGGGGGGGGGGGCGGCGGGAGCGGTACCTGAGGAACGGGCTTCGGGGCGGCCCCGCGAGCCGCCGCCTTTGTCCGCAGGGAGCCGAGGTCGGGGCGCGGAGCCCCGCGCGGTGCCGGCGTCGGCGCGGGCGGGAAGGTGCCGGGCGGGGGGCAGGAGGAGGCGGCACAGAGCCGGGCGGCCGCGCGGCCCGAGTGCCTCCGGGGCGGGCGGCGGCGGGCGGGGGCCGTGGGCCCCGTCTCCGGCTGGAAGGCGCCGTTCGCTCGGCCCAGCGGCCCTAGATGCTGTTTGGAGCGGGGCCTCCGGTGAGGTAGACCCTGTGCGGAGGTCCCGGGCAAAACCGATGTTTCGTTTTGTCCTAAGTGCGCGTTCCAGCAGGGCTTGTGGCACCTGTTATGTCAGTCTCTCTGGGGAAAGTGCAGGGCACACACGCACTGGAGCCGCTGCTTGAGGCACGGCCTCACTCCTGGCAAAAGGCAGTCGAACCTTTCTGAAAGCCCCCAGCAAGGCGCGTTCTGCAGCCTGCCGAGAGCGTTTTGGCGCTTGGCTGTCGGTGCCACTGCACAGGTTGCCTTGGCATCTGAGCTGGCTGTGAGTTAACTGAAGCTTCTCTGCCCAACACCGAGTTTATGTAAGAGCAATCTGCAACTTATAACAGAGTTTTAGATCGTCGTTTCACATAATATTATCATGTCCAAACTTCATTTTTCTAGCAAATTCTCATATGCGTTACGTTCTCATAGTTTGTATTTTCTATACCTTTCCTCATTCTTAGGCTGCCTAAGTCCTTTCAGCCTTGCACTCTTCCTTACATCTACATCAGGCTAACCAGACTAGCTATCTCAGTATGGCATTTGCCAACTTTGCAGTGGCATCACCATCTTGGTTCAGATTCGTTTTCTGCTCCCCAGAACGCTTTCAGCGATGCTGTCATCTGAACTGCTCCCCACATTCTTTACAAATTCATAGTGACTTTCTGACGTGTCACTTTTTAAATTACCTCATTCACAAAGTACATACACATTAATAGTTTATTATTTTCCTGGAACCTTGGATTTACTCTGAACAGTTTTCCATTCACAAGTTCACCTTTCTTCTCCTTCCTCTAGTCAATCAGTGGAGAGCCCACAAATTCCACAATATTTTTTTGTAGCTACACGCCAATAATTTCAGAAGTTCTCTGGCTGGCATCCTGAACAATTTGGAGTGTGTTTTCCAAGTGCTGCCAACCTGTGTAACCACGTAACCACTTCAATGTAATGGGTTCTTTCCTGCTGCTACTTGTTGCTGTCACCTCCCAAAAACATTTGGTTCAGTAACAGGTTGCAAGGCAGTTCTGAAGGCTGAAGAAACTGACGTGCTGGTTTCTGTGTGCGTGTGCCTTCTTTTTCTATCAGCAGTGAACAATATTTTCACTTGTTTTGCTTTTATTTCCTGTGCATATAGATGTAACGTGTTCCTATATCCTTCTCAGGTACTAATTCCGCCTCTCATTTTGTTCCTGCCTGCCCATGTTATTCTGCAGTGCTAATTCTTAACTATGTGCTTGATTCCACTTTTTGCACAATCTGGAAAGTCTGCTTGTATATTTTAACACTGCCATTAGTGCTGCATTACACTCTTGTTCGTGTCGGTTGTTAATGCTCTCTCCCCATGTGCCTTCTATGTTAGAAGGTTTGTTGTTCTGTTGATGCCTTTCAGTAACTGCTCTCTCCTTTCCCACTGATCATGCCAGCTTTATATTCTCAGCCATTTTCTTTTATTAATCAAGATTTTAAATAGTGTTTCCACTAATTTCTCCATCTTCTAAATAAAAAATTGTCTAAAACACATTTCAAAAGCCCTGGGTCTTCATTCAAGTATGTGTCCCATAATAGAAGTTCACCATTGCTAAGATTTGTGCTTCAGTTGCTGTTGTCAGTTGCCTTGGAAAGTTTCACCTGTCTGTAGTTACTGTTTCATTCTCCCTGTGTTCTGTGACAAGTCTTTGTGGAAGAGGAGCAGGAATTCTCTCGAGTAGGTCAGCCTGCTTTCCTGATGAGAACAGCTTGCACGACAGCACTTTGGTTGAAAGCTCAGGTCAAAATATGCACTGGAAATTAAGGACAGACTTAAAATTCACTTGGAATTTCACATTTCATGTGCTTTGTTTTTGTACTTTTCAAATATTTTGACTGCTCCAAAAATGTTCATTAAACCACAAACTAAACGGAATAATCATTAATTAGAAGACCACTTCCCTCTCAATAGATAGGATAAACTGTGGCATGGTATCATTGCACTGCAGCTGTTGTTGTGCAGACCTACAGATCTGGTTATACCTATGGATATTCTAAACACCTTTCCTTCAGGCCAAGTGGAAGGAGCACTGAAATACTCTGTTATGTAATAATAACTGGAAAGAACAGGAAGTCACCTATCAAATAAGAGGGAAGGTGGCCATGGCTGGTTGAGTTTTCTTCTAAGCCACACAGGCAGCTGTATGTTCAGCTGTGATCGTAACCAAGCAGCAGGTAAGAGAAGCACTCACGTGCATGGCCACCACGAGGACCTTTGCTCTTTGCTGTTCATCTTCCTTAAAGGAGGCCATGCTACCATGGGCGCTAATGCAGTAGTACAAATCTGATCCAGATTCACAGATGTTAATCCCAGCACGCAGTATGGGGCTTACACTGGCTTTACGGCTGTACAGTGGCCCTGTGTGTGTTGTGGGAAGACAAGAAGTACTCGATATGACATGTTAGAGTATCAGGAGGTAATACACTTCACTTGGCATACAGCCCTGCACAGAATTACTCAGTTAGGTCTTTCTGACAGACTGGGTCCAGGATGTAAGTTTACTCTGAATCATCAATTTGTGTCATGTGATCTTTTGGGGGTCATTTTTCCTAAAACTGGTATTATAGGTTCAGTACAAGAAGGTCTAAGTCTGAATTTATGTTAGCGTATCACCAGACTACAGATAAATGATTATTAGTTTTCTTTGTGCTACAGTTTCTGCTAAATTTTATATTCAGTGTAGGTGAATGAACCAGGTTATAGACTCACAGAGGCAAAACCTCCCCATCTGCAAACAGAAACATACCATGACTATCTCATAACCAAAACAACACAGCCAGCACTCTGAACATGCAATCTAAACTACCCACACTAAACTTACAGAGCAGTGCTCACGTGCTGACTAATTTGTAGAAGGCTGGGAAATTACAGACGAGCAATGTGCAAGAAAATGCTTTCAGACTGAATCTATCACAACTATGCCCACTTTTTGCCTCCAATCTTTGCAAAATCAAGCAAGACTTAGTCTTCTCTATTTTGCTCCTGCACTGGTTTGACTCCTGGTTATTCTGTTTATTAACCAGTCAACTCAGGGATCTGTATCTCTCCAATGTCCTCCAAAGAGCTGCTAATCATGTCTTGAATGTTTTCAAAATGTTTGCTTGTTCATAATATTTGGTGAATATTTGTTGCCTGAGGCAGGAATTTCCTGCAAAGAAGAGGTGAACCTCTTCCTGATGTCAGATGAATATTTGATGAATATTTTCCTAGATCACCCTTTTGTGCCTAAGCAACTCAAGACATTTCTGAACAAAGGCAAAATATCCACAGAATCACTCCTTTGACTTCTGTCCTTCTCGAAACATGTAACTGACACACAACCTGCAGAAAGACTGAAAAAGCTTTTCAGTCTCATCAGGAGCAGGAAGACTGAGAGACATCTTCTAGAGCCAATCTGCTATCAAGGTATACAAAGGAATACACAGAAAAGACAGAACTGCCACAGAAGCCCCAAATGAGCTTTTTGCATGTATTCATTGTGAAGAAGGCTGGGGTAGTTCCCAGACAGGAACTCACAAGCTTGTCTGAGGATCTGTCTCGCATTGAAGCACCAGTAAGGGTTAGAATAAATTGACAAAGTGAATAATAACAAACTAATCATTGCCAGATGGTCCCCACCATCCCTGCAGAAGTGTGCAAGTCTTCCTTTAAAACTGCTTCCGCACAAAGCCTTAGGAGATGGCTAATGCAGCACCAGCTTTTACAAACAGTTCCTGGGGAGACAGCACATGGGAGGGCTGTGACCTAAAGAGCATAGCGAAGATTTTCAAAGCCACACCACCTTTAGCACTTGTTTTTTACAAGCCTTTCCAACAGCCATTTTGAGATGCCCAGAGCACAACAGGACTAGTCAGGCCATGGCTTGGAGCTGGTGGGATGGATTGCCAGTGCTGGGTACAAGGATAATGAGAGACAAAACCATAAGAAGGGGTTGCAGCTGGCCAGCCTTTGCCTGGATGGAGGTCAGCATTGGGACGAGAAGCTTCAGAGGCAGGCAGCAGTGGGAATTCCCATGCTGCTGCTGCTGCTGAGCCCTGGACCTGCTGCTGCATGCAGTCATGTTACAGCCTGTGCCAGCAGCAGTGCAGGGTGCTTTTTTTTCTTCATGTAAAAGATACTGTCTGCCAAAAATGTTTGCCAGAGCTGTCTGTGTTTGTTTTGCCACACCTGCTCACAGCAGTTCTGGTTGTGCCTACCTCTGCAGGTAGTGCGGTGCAGTGGGAATGCATCTGAACAGTGACAGAACTGGTACAGAGGGCCCCGTGTTCACACAGCTGCTGCAGGGTACTGTGTGCTTACCTGGAGCCTTCCTCCAGCCCGGTGTCATCTGAATGCCATGAAATGGGCGGCTGTGAGGCTGCTCTGTGCCAGATGTCCAAGCACAGTGTGGGAGATGTGCTCCAAAAGCACACTGCTGATCCAAAGAGCAGCACTGATGTGGGCGCTCCAAGGTGCTCAAAATGGACGTCTAAAATGGAGGTCCAGGAGAGGGGCTGTGTAAGCACTGAACTATCAGAACAGTGTAACAATATTAAAAAAATAAAAGTAGTATTATCCCCCCAAAATTAATCTTTATCTCTATAAAAGCCTACCTATCGGAACAATACAACGTTATTCAAAGAATTAAAACTGCCTGTTGCGTGCTGAGAATCAAACCGACGGCTCCAGCGCTGCTCGGGGTGGGACCGCCGAGCGCAGCCCAGGCCCGGCCGCTTCCCCCGCGGGTCCGGCACCGTGGCGGCCGTGCCAGCAGGGGGCGCGCCCCGGCAGCGAGCCGCCCCCCGTCTCCGCCTTCCCGGCCGTCCGTCCCTCTCCGCCCGCCCATCGTTGGGCCCGGCCCGGAGGGAGGGCTCTGCAGGGAGAAAGCTGCTTAAGGGAGGTCCCAGCGTTTGAAAACGAATTGAAATGTGCGCTTCCTCTTAGTGAAAGAGTACGAGGTGGTCTTGTATTTGCAGCGGGTTTCAGGAGCAGAGGTTTGTCAGGAAATCGTTGTCGCTAAAGACATAAAAAGCTGTTTTGACTGATGACAAGCAAAATGTTTGCCATGTTGCCTTGCTTTGATCCTGCTCTTATCTGTAATATTCATAGTGATGATGTCCAGTGATGCTTTTCGTAATGTAAAGAACCCTACAAAAACTAGTACTGGTGCAAGCCAAAGTCCAAGGAGGGAGGTGGATTGATGTTACTTTTGTTTGCTCTGCATCATAAAGACACACGCCTGTACATTACAAGGGATTTTAACAACTCCATCAGTCCCACCGCAGAGGTATTAAGTAGATGAAAAGAAAGAAAAACGAATCCCATGCTCGCCTCGTGCTGCCTTACCCAGTTACACATGGAGGCTCAGAACTGCAGCCTGTCTTCATTTCCAAGTGAGAACAAGAACTCATGGTGCTGCTGCTGCTGAGCCCTGGACCTGCTGCTGCATGCAATCATGCAGCTGCAGTCATGCTGCTGCATGCAGAGCTCCTGGAGCACCCCAGCACCTGCTCCAGCATGCTGGCAGGAAGCTTCCACACACAACAGCCCGGTGGGACACTTCTTTTGCAGAGCATGGTGAAGCCAGAGGGCACAATCTGAGCCACAGTTTGCCTTCTGGCTCAAGTTACTGGCAGGAATGGTAGTCTGGGATTGGAAATGAAAGAATAGATTTCTTATTTCCTATTGAGAATGCTTAGCTGATGTTTCTGACCAACTGCTCGTTCCTCTGTTTCAGTTCAGACAAATCAAGATCATCTTCTCCAGCAACATTAAAAACAAAATAAGGAAACCTGGTGCATTCTCATGTTACTTGCCAAATGACTAAATTCTGGATTTATTTCTCTCTGTTGTTACAAAGAAACTGTGGAGCATTTGGAGCACATGTGCTTCCTGATCTTTTGTAGAAGAGGGATTTTGCACTTCATTAGTGTAACGTCTTTTATTGCCAGATTCTACACTGACAGATTCTTCACTGGACAAGGCAAGGGCTTGTTGTGGGCATCAAGGAGTACTTGCATGCACTCCTGCTTCATAATTCGTCAAATAACCCACAGCAAAGTTAAACTCAGCCCAACTGAACCATTTTCCTTTTGTGAAAGAGACAGGAATAAAAGATACGACCTGACAAGATGGCCTTCTGAAAACATACACTACAGTAAGTGAAAAAGGGAACTGAAGAGACAGTTACAGCTGTTATATACAAACTTTTTCCTTGGCTGCTTAAGAACAGTAGATTTTCCTCCTACAGGCGTAATATCAAATTTATTCATTTTGAGGTTTTGGTCTACCTGGAGAAGGATAATTAAACACTTCATAGTTGTTTAACAGTGAAAGCAAAAATAATGCCATGGGTTTACATTAACAGTCTGGGAATAAAAAGCGCTGCACTCTTCTGCCAATAGAGTAGAAAATTTACTATTGTAAGTCAAGAAAACCTAGTCATTTCACTACTCTTAACGTTATAAATCTTCTTTCATGAAGATAAAATGCCTTTTAAAGTGCACTTTTGAGAGCAATGATTACGGCAGGTTTTTTCTCAGGGAGAAAAGGCGGGGTGCTGTGCACTGCAGACGATTTCAGCTCTGAGAAGCTGCAGGGCGTTGTGAGGAGAGCTGGCCAGAGGGCAGTTGCTCAGCCTCACAAGGACAGGTGAGCACAGAGTTCAAGTAAATATATCTACCCAGGTCTCCACCTGTATTTTTTTCACTTTGCCTGATAAGCTTTAGTTTCTGCCTCTGCTGTTCCTTACTGTTAATCAGATTACAGAGAATCGTGCTTCAGAGGAGGTGGGAATTATGAGCATACTTCTCAAACAGTTCTAAAGGAAGCTGTGCAAACACATCTGAAGAAACATTCCTGGAAGAATTTTAATCTGTTTGTTTTAAAAAGCACACCACTTATTTCCATTAAATTTTGAAATTCCCTGAACTGGGCAGCTTTTATTGCATACCATCATCCTAAATAAATATTTTGGCTTATTGCATTTCCAAAACATGCACAAACCTTATGACACTCTCAAAAAAACTCAGATAAGCATCAGATACCAAAATTAGGCATGTCATCTTCAGAATTGTTCTTTTACTGTTGAGAAACATCATTTTCAAAATACCTTCCTCCTGTTTCCAAGAGCAGATCAAACACCTTTCTTTAATCTTAGCTTGTAGATGGTAAAATTTCAGCTTGCTGTGTTTATCATGAAAAGCATTTTCCATTTTCTGTGAAGTTGCTATCAGAATGTTTAACAAAAAAAAATATTAAGGTGGTAGTTGGAGTACTTTCCTATAGAGGTAAGCGGGAGACAGGTGCTGAATATAAATTTCTCTTAATAAAATGCTACCATGACTATAATAATTAAGAACTCTTTGATGTCTCATCTAGCAGCTGTAATTAATAGAAATGATAAAATACCATGCAGCGAAATTGCAGTGTGTTATGGTTCCAAGTTTCCCACTGGGGCTTTCACTGAGCAGCAAAGTCCCTTTCCAAGGCACAGAACTCAAGGAGATGAGAAGCAGAGGGGCTGTGGGCAGACTCAGGTGGGTCCTGTGAGAGCACTACTGTCACTTGCTTCTTTGATGCTCTGTGTGGATGATGAGCTACAATAATTCTGGGAAGCCAAAGAACAGAGCCTCTGAACTCTGCTATATGCTCAGCCTGCCTTTATTTTGGCCAACATTTTGCTCAGAGAGCAAATTTTACAATGAAACAAATTATAAGAGGCACTTCAGAGTTACCAAACAGTACCATCTACCCATCCCACTCGACCCCTCTCACCTCTCCAAGTGACAATCCAGTCACTGCGGTATCTAAGGCTGCCACGGGCAGGAAGCTGGGTGCTGGAACGGCAAGGTGCTGCCTCGTGCGCTCACTCCAACAGAACGCTGAGGAACGGGGCATCTCCTCCCAGAATGAGGGCAACGGCCATCAGCTGATGCTAGAGCCTAACCCGCTCCGTGTCTGAGCCTCTCAGCTCCCACCCTCCTGTTTCTCCCCTCCTCTCACTCCCAAAATAAAGTTCCTGACAAGAGCATCTTCATACCTGCTGCTCTCTCCCATAACCTTATCTTTAGCTCCTTCAATTCTTTCCAGTGTCAGACAGCATCGCATCTAACCGCCTGTATTCGCACACGGAACATGCATACAGCTCAATACGTTTTCTTTAAGAGGGCCTTTTCCTACTCCCCGTACTGCGGCGTTATACGAGCCCAGTCTCTGTGGAACCGGCTGATTTTTGCCTCAACCCGAACCAGGGCCGGTGTGGCAGAGATGTGAGCAGAGATGCGTCTGAGGCTTTCAGCTCCCGAAGCTGCCGCGACAGCGCGCGGGGCTCCGCCGCCATGGCTCGCGGCTCTCGGCTCACGGTCCGAGGCTCGCGCCTCACCGCCCCAGCAGGGCTCCGGGCCGCCGTGCAGCGGACAGCCCCCTCCTCCAAGCACGTCTCGCGTGGTTCGTCGAGAATTCGCCTCACCCATTTCTTTCTTTCCTTTTTATTTATTTATTTGTGACCATATTCCCCTCTTCCGGGCCGGGTGGCGCTGACTGCCGTGCCGGCAGCCCAGTGAGAGCGGCGAGGCGGAGCGAACCGAGCCCAGGATCGTCCTCCCGGCTCCCGCCCTCCCGCCGCCTCCTCAGCGCCAGCCCGCGCCGCGCCGCACACACCCACCCGCCCGCCCGCCCGGCTCCGCGTCCCTCCGCTCCCCGCCGGCATGGTCATCAAGGTGTACATCGCCTCCTCCTCCGGATCCACGGCGGTGAGCAGCGAGGCGGGAAAGTTGTAACGGGCTGAGGGGGCCCATCCGACCGCATCGGCGGGGCTTCTCTTCGCCGCCTCCATCCGCGGCTGTCGTGTGACACGGCGGGGAGCGGCGGGCTGCGGGAGGGGGGCTGAGCTCAGCGCGGGGACGGCGAGACTGCGGGGAGACCGTGCTGGGGCTGTCGGGGCCGGGGCCGGGGCCGGGCTTAGGTAAGGGCTGGGGGCAGTTAGCACTGGGTTTAGGTAAAGGCTGGGGCTAGCTGGGGCTCCGAACCGCCACAGGTGTGCGGAGCTGCCCAGGGGAAAGCTGCCCGCCCAGCTGAAGCAAAACCCGCATCCTCCTCACCGCGTGGCTCCTCAGCCCTTGGCCCCGCACCGTCTGAGCATCAGCATCCTGCCCTGGGAGGGAGATCTGTTTACTGCAACCGGTGCTCACGAATAACATGTCATTTCCTTCGCTATTTATCAGCTTGCTTTGTGACTTCTTGCTTCCCTCTCCCACTGTTGGACTGTTTTTAACAGATCCAAGTGGATAGCACGCTTTGGCTCTGTTCTGCGCTGGAAAGGCAAAGCGAACTAATTTTCTGTTTCTTAGTTTGCTATGGTTTTACTCTTGAGGTTCATTTCTGAGTTGTGTTATTCCTCATGTCAGCACTGGGCTCTGATGCTCTCATACCAAATGGTTAATGACGATGGGCGTGTGAGCCTACTGCCTGAGCAGCTGCAGCTTCTTGCCCTGTGGGAGTACTGAGTTTTGTTTTCTGCAGCCCCAGCACGCTGTCGGCATAGCTGGCTCAGAAGACTGTGTTTTTTCAAAGATGAGTGAATGAAAGAAAAAAAAAGTGGGAGTCTGTGCCTAGGGTCAGATATACCTCAGCAGCAGCATCCTGAAAGTTGTCTGATTTCTTCTGTGTGACCTGCAAAAAAGAGACTCGGAGCCTAAAATCCAAGGGATTTATTGCATTGCATGAATATACAAGAGACTTTCAAAATGCCAGTGAGTGCCGTTAATGATCAGTGACTTTTGCTGCATGCAGATAGAATCTAAGCTACAGGTTAGCAGTGTTGCTGATACTTCTGTGAACTTCTAGAGTAGCCACCCAAACTTTCAGAGGCCAGCAATGTACAGGAGGAAGAAACACCACTGCCCATTTCACCAAATTCTCCTTCTCTGGTTCAGTGCAGTTGCTGATCTGTGATCTTCAGCAGAAGAAATGCTGTGTTGGTGAGCTGTGGTGTGGTAGCCCCTTGTTTGACTCTGCTGGTCAGCGGCTGAGCCTTGCCACAGAAAAGAGCAGAGAAGTTCATGCCTCGGATGACGCTATGCTAACAGTCCTTGTGTTGTCTTTGTTACTCTCGATGTCAGCACTAACATCAACATGCTGATGATGGAAAGCTGAAGATTACCAGATACACATCTTGAAAGAGTCTTGACATCCTGAGCAGGTAGTTTATGAGGGAAATCAAAAAGAATTTCTGCTGGCTTTATAGAAAATAATCTTATAGAGGGAAAGAAACAGTCATTAGCAAATAGAAGAAGTAATTCTTTTCTCTAACACAGCTGTTAATAGCTTTTCGGTTGACAGGCTTTGCTGCTGTAGACTCTTACCAGTGACCTCTTAATGGCAGTTATTGATTTTTGGTTTGTGTAGTGGTACTAAGCTCCAGGGAGATGGCCACTGATCTTGATCTCAACTGCATTTTCCTGTTTTTAAAATTATTGGCATAGTAGTTTCTGCGATGCTGTCTTATCTTGTGAACTGTACATTTCATGAGACTCAGTGCTAACTTTGTCCCAAGTTTTAGGCTCCCTCATGCATCCTTGACCCTGGAATTTGGATCTCAGCACTGGCGTGTTTTGTGTTTATGGAATATGAGTGTAACAGATTCATAAATACCAATTTTATTACGTATGTATACCCAGGTCTAAAGTGACTGCAGCTGAAGTGATGTCGAGCAGTGAGCAGGACTTGCGTGTTCTTGGTTTGCTGAATGCACCCAGGGTGTTTCTGTTGGCCAGGCTCAGCCGTGTACCTCACTGGGTGGCTGTTTTCTTTCTGCTATAAAAATTTTGATTGATTCTTGAACTTAAAGCAAAACAGAGAGGCACCTAACTGCAGAAGAAGACTCTGATTCACATGAAATGAGGTCAAAGGGAATGAGTTATTTGTTCTGGGTCTTAAAATGAGCTATTAGTGGGTCAGTCTCTGCTTGGAGGGCCAGCAGAGTCTTACCGGGGATCCTCAGGGAGTGGATCAGAGGATCCACTGAACCAAATCAGAGTTGTTGTCATTTGCTAACATCAGCCCTGTAAGCCAGCTCCGTCTCACCAAGAAGGCTTTGTTTTGCCAGCAGCATCCCATGCACTGTTACTTTGGTTTCCTTGAGTAAAAACTAGAAACAGGAGGAAAATCACCTCCTCTCCAGAAAATGATGACTTGTTCCTGAAAGTTGTTAAAGCATTTGTGAGGCTCTGGATGCATTATATCAGCTGCAGGGAAAAGGGATTGAGGCAGCTTTGCACCTTGGAGCCTTGGGCTGTCAGTCTGGGAGGGTGCCCAAGTTTTGTGCTCTTTCACTGGCAAAGCAATACTTTGTTCTGCAGTCAGTTTTGCATATCACAGCTTTATAACTGTTTCTCCAGGGCACTGTTCTCCGTAGTATTTTTATTCAATGATATGTGTCTGTGAGGAAAAACTACCATATGCTGTTGATGTCTAAGCAGGGGCATGTCAGAGCTACATGTTGAGGAGTTTCTGGTGATGTACACTCTGCTGGTTAATTCCTCTGTACCTGTGTGTTGTGGTGCTTCACTATGGGTGTCACAGCCCCAAGGGTGGGTGCTGAGCTGCCTGTTCTCCAGCACGAGGAGTTGGTGAGTACACAGCCTTATCTCTGCTGTGATTCATCGGTTGCTAAGCCCTGTGTTTAATCATGGGTTTTGCTGTATACCCTGTACGGTAAAGGTGACTTTGTGTTTGTTGTTGTGGTTTGGTGTTGCACCTCTCAGAGGCAGAGTTAACTGAATGTACCTGAAGTTTGTAGTTTGGGAGTCTTCAGCTGAAAGGTGCCCTTCTCCTTTGATCTTTCTGGTTCTGAACCACAAGCTGGGCGATGGAGCACAGGTGGCTGTAATTATGGAGATGAGCTGTAGGCACCAATGTGGGAAAGTGCACGTGCAGCTCCTGTCCAGGAGTCTCAGTGGCGTGCAGCCAGAGTGAACAGCATTACCTAATGTGAGCCAGTGTTGGAGGCCACGAATGTGAAACAACAGGCACAAATGCCACATTCAGGAGCACCCAAGCATTGACTTGAATGGGGATTGTGCAAGCTGTGAGACCGAATTTGGCTACAGACTGCTATTCAAATCCTTTAAGAGACAAAAGGAGGAGAGGCCAAGGAGTGATTGGCATTCTAGCTCTGTGAAGGAGTAGTATATAGGGATTGAAGAGGGGGAATTGCATCAGCCTGTGATTTTCTCCATTTGGGTTTTTCTTTCTTTTTGGGTAGGAGATTGCCCCATCTCTCCTCCAGTACCAAAAGAACTTGCATACTTCTCCATGAAGGCAGCTGCCTTACTGTTTTTATTGATCTCAGGTGGAAAGGAGCCAGCTGTTGAAATTCCTCTCACTCTTACAAGCGTGCATTTGCTGCCAGTAACTGCCAGCATTGCTCATGGTGCAGTCCAAGAGGACTGTGTCTGTTCATAGGGTACCCCACTGCCAGCTGCAGTTCTGATGGCACATGGCTGGTTCTTCTCACTTGCAATGAGTTGTGACTGAGCACAATGGCCAAACCAAGAAAGTACTATCATTTCCATGTTATATCATGGACTCCCACTGTTAAGAATGACTTTGAAAAGGAGAGGAAGCTCGAGTTTATTTTTTCATTCTCAGATTAAGGGATGGGAGGGTGTAGAGTTTTGTATTTTCATATTGTTTTCTTGTTTGGGAAAAGATTGAGGTCATCTCCTCCTCACCCACCAGGAAATGGAGAGGAGTGCGGCCTGTCATCTGGAGCACAAGCACTTGGTAACAATGGTGCCTGCTCTTCTTTCCTCCCATGTCTCCTCAAGAAGCACAGAGGCACCTTCTGGCAGTGCTGGGGCAGCAGCAGGTGGTTTGAGGCAGAGCAGCTTTGTGTGAGACTGGCTGGGAATGAGCAGAGTTGTCTGCAGCCAGCAGCTCTTGCCTCTGTTTGTGTTCAGCAGCTCAGGGCTGTGGGATGGCTGGTGAAGCTGCATCATTCTTCTGAAGCAATCCCCAGAAAGTAATAAACAGAGAAATGGAGCTTGTATAAAGACGGGTATTTTGCATTTAAATATCTCTGGGGCCTTTTCTCTCTTCTTGTCTCAATAAAGGTACTACTGCCCTCTGAGAAGATGAATGAAAGCTACGTGCTTTCTGCTCCTGTGCTGTCGTACTGCCGTGCGGTTCATGAGCAGAATGGTGCCACAGCCACGGCACTG